CTAGTAAAGTCGAAAATTTCAAAAGGAGTATGAAGTGACGTATTTATACATACTAGAAGCAGCAGCAGTAATATTGAGCTGTACTGCGCCCAAAACATGCACCCGGTAGTTCGCAAACGTCTTGTCTATACCCGTACCCATACCGGCAATTTATTCGAAACATGTACGTAACTCAGTCTGCTAACCATTTCATTTGGATATCCATGCTCATGCCGAACCCGTGGAGTTGACCTTGATGAAAATGGGGGTCGTTCATGTGTCATTTTCCGGGCCTCAAGTGATCGGACCTTTATTCCATCCTGCCGCCATGGTTATTTTACGTCGCAATACGGCTTCGGGTGTTGACTTCATTATGGGGTATGTCAGCCGTTGTGCGGCAGTTTATGACCTTCTTGACCCTCCGGGGCTGTAGGCAGTGCTCGGCAGATGAATACCGACGCCGAGCGGCCGAGCGCGGCCGAGTGGCGATCCTGACATCGGAGACAGAGCGTCAGGAGTCACTCAGCTGATGAACGCTGGCCTCTTGTGATTACGTTCACGGACGCTACATGTGCCGCGCATACTGGTCCGCTGAATGACCCAGCCGGCGAGGCGGCCGCCGGCGAATCACTTGCGGCTCCGCGACTGATGCATACTAACAGGGTCGTGATGGCGCAAGCTCGGTTCGTCGCATCTCAATTACGCTGTTCGCATGAGCAGCGGCAATTCGTATCGAGGGCGCCACAACTGGCCTGGCGCAGAGACTCGAGGGCGCCACAAGTGGCCTGGCGCAGCGACTCGTGGGCGCCACAACTGGCCTGGCGTAGCGACTCATGCATCTCATCGAAGCGCTCTGAATGCGTGCGACGAACAGCCGTGATGTGTATTGTCGGCGCAGTTCTTAGTGAATTGTTCACGTCATCGCACGCATTTGTTGTGGGTGAGATGCCATGATGAGACTCAAACGTGTTGCTCCCAAGTTGGCGGCCGTTGACTGTAGCAAAATGAAATGAAGCCGTCTTTCTTAACCCAATGACTTTCTTCGGCATTGCCTCATGACGCTGACCTGCATGCCTTTTATGAACAGTCGTATGCTATTGGTCAGGCTTTGATTGTAACCTGGAAATGTTTTGACTAATATACAGCTAACGTAATGGTTACATGCGGCACTACTACGCATGAAGGTCTGACTTACGGTAAGGCATGTGACAGTGGTACTGTACCGCAGAGGCCAGCCAGGTGATGGAGCGACGGCCCTCTCATAGCGTGTGGCAGCGGTACCGTACCACAGTGCTTAACCAGGCGATGGAGTGACGGCCGCATTATCGTGTGTGGCAGTGGTACCGTACCGCGGCGCTTAGCCAGGTGATGGAGTGACGACCATCTTATTGCGTGTGGCAGTGGTACCGTACCGCAATGTTTAGCCAGGTGATGGAGTGACGGCCCTCTCATCGTGTGTGGCAGCGGTACCGTGCCGCAGTGTTTAGCCAGGTGATGGAGTGACGGCCCTCTCATCGTGTGTGGTAGCGGCACCGTACCGCAGTGTTTAGCCAGGTGATGGAGTGACGGCCTTCTCATCGCGTGTGGCAGCGGCACCGTGCCGCAGTGCTTAGCCAGGTGATGGAGTGACGACCTTCTCATCGCGTGTGGCAGCGGCACCGTACCGCAGTGCTTAGCCAGGTGATGGAGTGACGACCCTCTCACCGCGTGTGGCAGCGGCACCGTACCACAGTGCTTAGTCAGGTGATGGGAACACGGCCTTCTGGTCGCCTTGGCGACGCCGCGGGATTGCAGTCGCGCCACTCTGCCGACGGGATAATGCCAGCGACCCTAACTTTGTCAACGTAGATTACTCTGGGCGCTACGAGAGCCGTGCCTAAAACCTTATTATAGAACGTTAATCAGACGGGGGATGCCGGTCGATCAGGCCGTGTCATGGGACTGCCAGACCTGGAGCCGGTGACCGGTGTCTCGGCCCGAAGCTGGGCGATCGCGGCCGGGCTTGGGCCGCCGCATGGCTCCGGTCCGTCCTGCCCAGTCACAAGAGGCCCTCAGTGCCCATCTAATGTCGGCGCGCTGACCGCCACCGCCCGCGGCGCCTCCCCACCCCGCCGCGGCCAGATCAGCTGGGGGAGCATTCTATCTTCGGTGGGGCGAGCCATCCAGCCGGCGAGCAGAGGGGCGCCGCCGGCCAGGCTCATCCCGCCGGTGGCCGGCGCACAACGCGGCTGGGCGCCGATGCGTGATTGGATCGGTTCGGCGCACGGCCGGCGCGCCAGTCGGGCTGCCGGGTGTCGCTCGCCGGTGGCGGACCCGCCGCCGCCGCCGCCGCCGCCGAATTAATGACGCCACCGCCTCGGATCGTTAACTGCGGCACAGCGCCATTCACCGCCCGCCCCCGGCGCGAATTGTCTGTTTTTGCCGGCTGGCTTATGCTAAAACCCGCCGAATCATTCCCCACCGCCGCCTTTTCCACCAGGGTATTTTGTTGAACAGTTTGGTTGAGAAATGGTGGGGGTCGCGTTTGATATCATCAGTCAGCCGTCACCACACGATGCACGAACCAAGTTTTTCATCAGGAGCCGACCTCAGCGGCAACCCTGGGTCAGCCTCATGCACGACCGCAATATGTGTCCGTCAGAAAACCATGCAGACTGGCTGGAGGTGTAGTCACGAATAGCCCTAGACGTCGGATAAACTCACAGTACAACTGATGGCACGTAATCAAGAAACGAGAACCTTGGGACAGATAAAGCCCGTGGAGCGGTCATGTTCCTTGAAGGTGGCAAGGTTCTCCAGGGTCTCATGGAGACCGCCACACGACTAGAGGTCCGTAAAACCCACGGATTCAGCCGATGCACAGAACGATGAGAACGACCTCAGTGAGTCGGTGTCTCCAAAACGACCCAAGAGCTCCAGATGGAGAGCAGACGATTATTGTGATGATCAGCCAACCACTAAGAAAGAACGGAGAGAACAGACGGTCGCCGTCGCTCAGTGACATGTACACACCTCCGGGAGAAGAACGGGTATCAGTGGACCATGATTATTTTTTTGCTTAATTGTCTTGAGGTAGCCAAACAAACCGTGGCATGTTGTTCAAAAAGCCCTTTCGCCGGTGCGAAGCCATGAGTCGGGCAAAAGGCTTTACAAATCGGACAGATTGATATGAACGTTTGATCGCTGGTCCAGTCTGTATAGCTCGAACGCTTCATTCTCAATTGAATTCCATGAATCCGTCAAGTGCCACACTTCTGCTATCAAAGTCCTCCGAGACAGCTCGAGATGAATGGCGAAACGTCCCATGAATCAAGTTCGCACTTGCAAGTGTCTACCTTTTGGACGCGAAGGAGTCCAAGTTTCAAGAAACGATTGGTCACATGGTCAGCTTAAGTCTTGTCGCTAAGGAATGTTCTTGGGACCACTGACCAGAACGAAGTGCAAAACGGAGATTTCCCTAAGTATAAGTTTAAGTATATAAGCATTTCTCTAAGCTCTCGGATTAACTCTTTTGACTAATACAAAAGCCCAATTCTGGAGCTTATCTATTACCTTCTGGTGTTTGTCCACTTTCTGTTACCAAGTGCCGCGCAAGTTGTCCTGTAGCCGTACGCTTGGTGATTGTAGCGAATATTATATGCCAGGTTCCATACTTTGACATCTGCGCTTTTTTCATACCTACATACATGCCTATGGATGAGACTGAGGACGAAAGACGGTTATGTTGCACGTCGCAGAGACTTTTGAAGCAGGCAAAAGCTGTCTCTAACGACATTTAGGGATCAGTCTACAAACATTGTAACCAACTTAATCGCTTTACCCCGACTTAAACCTAGCCCTGATTCGCAATTTTTAACTTAGCCGTCGCCCCTGGTGTTTCCAAAGTAATTGAGAGCAAGCTTAGCGGAAAACTCTGGTGACCCCATCATTTCAGGCCAGAGTGCGGACTTTCTGGAAAATCACACTTCTTGGGCTTTAAAACATCACACCCACAATGCTATGCCTGGATATTAACTCTCGCGACGCTGGGTTGAACGTGGTTCCCAAATATTTGTCTGACCAGACAGTCCATTCCACCGGATCATCTGTACATGTCCGTTGATCATAACAGCTTATTCTTCAACTGTTCGGAGAAAGTGGTCGAGAATTCCGGTAAGAGTGGCCCGTTCACAACAATGTGGTCTGCAGCATTCGGCTCATGAGTTTCTCTTTGGACTCACATAAAATGGCCGCGATGGTCACGAAATGTACGTTCATTGACTTTCCGCTGCCACAGGGCTACTCTCGCCAGCCATGTAAGGACATGCGCCTAACAAGAACGACACTTTTACGTGTTGTCTACACCAGCACGTCTCGTCGGGCCACGGGACTGCCCCAGGCGGTGTGCCCGCATTTGATGGCTGATCGAATATGCAAACGGGTCATACGGGCCGGCCAAGTCTCATAAAGCTAAACTACAGCCCACGTCATTCCTGACCAGTGAATGGGACGAGTCGGTGAAGCATAGCAGGTTCCGGCTCCGGCACATGCCCGATCCGATTAAAGACAAAGTAAGTTGAATTCCACGATGCACGGCTCACCCGCCGGTGCCTTGCGGATGTGCGTTTAGCTAACAGGTCACTAGGGGGCCATTTCCGTGGACTGGTGCTGCCAGCGAGTGGCCTAATGCCAAGACGTCCCATGAGCCTTGGCCTTCCCGCTGCAGAAGGTCTTTGCTGACGGATGACTGACGCAGGCATCCGCCCCACGCGCGGAGGGCTGCCCGAAGAAGCGGAGTCTCAGCGACCGGACTGGGCCGACTGGGCAGCAGCACCTGACCTGCTTAATAGCAGAGGTCGGTCTACTCGGCAGCCGGGCTTGTCGACTCTCGACAGCACGACCTGTGGACTCGGCAGCAGGACTTGTGGACCCGACAGCAAGACTTGTGGACTCGACAACAGAACTTACCGATGAGTTGTGGGCACGAGAGCAGGGTAAGGTCACCTTGCTGTCGTATTGACCTGGGCCACTGTTTGTTCCAGGCCAGCCGGAGGTGCCACAGGACGGCAGACTGCAAAACAATGAAGAGAAGAAGCTGATGGACTTCATCGTGCGAGGCTACGACCCGGACGTGCGGCCACTGCTGAACGCCTCGCACTCCATCAGCATCCAGCTGGGCATCACGCTCACGCAGATCTTCGACATGGTCGGTTGGCGGCGGCGGTGCGCGGTCTGTCACCCTGCCGTCTGCTGTGTTTGCTTCGGCACAGGTCGAAGCGAGCCGTTCGCGTCATGCCCGGGGCTCGGCTCATTATACGAGTGGCATTTGCAAGGGGTTTCAACGGTTACAAATATTCGGCATGTCATTCGGTATTCATTCGGTATTCATTCATTCGGCATCCGGCATGTCATTTAAAAGCTATAGTACATGTTGTGAATACAAAGGCGTCTATTGATTCACTTATGCGGCCGCAATATGCGCGCAGGCTGTCCCACTAGGGCTCAGTGAGAAAGCTCATGCTTGAACCTAGTGTGTTGGCCCACTTCTATTAACCCAACTGTTCCTCACCGTGCATATCCCATGACGGCTCACTTCCCCCTGGCATAGTTCAGCTCATCGCGGATGTAGATATCGCTGTGTGTAGACACACCTAGTTATGCGCCGCCTTATACTAGATACGGGACAACAAGCAAGCGAAGGCGTCGCATGGAACTTGACTGTTTACCGGAGCCTATGAGTAATATTAGCATAATCAGGCTGTTATAGGACGTCAAATATGATAATTTAAAGCGGCCGAAATCTCTCCATCCCATCCTATTCTTGTACAAAATGAAAGCCCGTCGATATGGAGTCTTTTAACACATGGAACAACATACACGTGTAGTGAATGTGCTTGCGTATGGTATGTAAGGTGAAGAAGGCTCAAACTAAATCAACTAGTCCTATAAATATAAAATGCTTCATCGGTTCTTTTCACGCTTGCTTGGTGACGGACCAAAGATCTTCTGCGAGATTTTTCTGGAAAACTGTAAAGCTACTAAGCGTTTTGCCCTAAAGCCTTCAAAAACCTGTTTACAACATTTTTACCATTTCCGTCACAATTTAAAGACCCTACCTAAAGACCATACCCTAGATCATGAGCAGAGACCTCTTTGCGGACGTCATTTTGGATGATTTTATGTTCAGTTGCCCGTCAAGGTATGTCCGTCGAAGAATAGACCACCCTCTGTGCATCGTGATACTACGTAATTATACCATTCCACGAGATCCAAATGTTAAGTCATCTAGGTATACATTACGTAAAACGCGCCACCGCAAGAAATCTCGACTGGAATTTTGTTGTGTCCTTCGGGCCTGCTTCATACAGCTTTGCGCAAGCAATGCAATGCCGTCTTCTGCTTGGATCCACCTTGTTCAGTTTTGGGATAGCCCCTTCGGGGTCCTGCTCTTCCTGCGAAAGTGTGAAAAACGCCCATCCAACACTACATAACGTTTTGATGTCTTGTTTGAACATAGCAGGTAACATTTCGTTCGAGCTGGTAGAGGTTCAATTCTTTTTTAGGACAAACCGGTCATTTCCTGTCACATTTCAATTGGCAAATTTCGGTGTTTTATGGGGAATTTGTGTTCGGTCAGATCCGGGACTTCCCCATTATGTACGAACTACCGTGCAGTTGATGGCCGAACCGCAAGGATGCTTGCGTGTCACGAGATGAAAATCCACCCGACGTACCTCAGATTCGACCCACTGAACACCGTGGGATGCGATGAGACGAGGGGTCTATGGGGATGGGGTTTAAGTTGCAGCGAATGCTCAAACAGCGGATGAAAGGGACTTGGAAAAGTCGCGCATGATGTCAAGAAAGGCCGTACGACCAATGACGCGCAAGCTCCATAAAAAAGTGCTTCCCTCCGGTATATATGTCCCCGTTGTGGCGAACCATTGATGTTACAATGTTAAACTAGGTGGCCAACAGATGTCAACGGTGGTTTCATGTAAATGCCTCCAAATGAATTGAAGCTACAGCTATCCAAATCAGGTATCATGTCCTAGCACTCACTTGTTAGTTACTATAAATTGACGTGATCGAAGCCATACTTGGATATCAGACTAGACAGCCTTGTTGTACTGAACCCGATGGCAAAAATAGACGTACGAATTAGGGAAAACTGAGACGCACTAAGAGTTAAATAAGGGGTGGACGGAATGCCTCAGCTTAAAATTTATTGCGCACGAACATGATGTTTGCATCGGTGATAAATTACGCGGCAATGTTTATAAAAGGCCTCCCTGCAATACAGCTTCTCGAGATATCACTGCCTGGGAGGATAATTGCTACTGTCTGGCTCATCTGGTATCCGGCCAGATAGTAAGATCCATTACCCAGCGCATTACCACTTCGCGCACTACCCAAACGCATTTAAGGCTTTTTCCCGAATGCAGCCTAGATGCTAAAGTGATGGAGCCGGCCTTAACTGTTTGTTAAGTCAATACATGGAATGTTTTGCGTCTCATGCTCATTTTTGTTATACGGATATATTTCTCTCTGCTGCTGCCTTTCAACGCTGCAATTTATCCGCGAAGTTTGGCTACAGCTGCTCGTGGCACACACGCGGCGTGCCCTTCGCGCTGCATTATTCATGTGGTGAGGTCAAGTGCAGTGAACTGAGCAGAACCACCCATTACACGAATGACAATTGTGCCGTTGTGCTGCACTTATCACGGTTGAAAGGCCGATTGTAGGAAGCCCAATTTTCTTCTCGAATTTCCACGAAAACCACGCAACGTTTCGTTTAGAAAGTATGCCGCCTGTGTGTCCGTGCATCAACATCAGAGATCATTCCGTATGGGATGCCGCCGCCGCAGCTGATTTGCAGTCAGGGAGTACGGTAGCACGCCGACACACGGCCATGGCCATCCTGCCGAGCAGCGCGCTGCCGTCTGGTCCGATGCCGTGCGCGGGCAATGCCTGCATACTCGGGGTTAGGACCGGCCGGCAGAGCGACAGTTGGTGGCTGGAGCGCACTCGATCCTCCGCCACGCTTGAGCAACGCTAGATAACGGAATCTTGAGGAGCAGCGCCTGTATTTCCAGCCGAGAGCAGTGAACTTTATTTCACCTACGGCTCAGTCATAAAACAGGTCCAAACTTGCTCTCATGTCGACGTCAGCTTCATCGGCAGCATTATGTCTACGCTTCCGATATATATATATATATATATATATATATATATATATATATATGTATATGTATATATATATATGTATATATACATGTATATATACATATATATATATATATATATATATATATATATATATATATATATATATATATATACATATAAGACGATTACGATAGACAGCTGCCCGAACCGAGTGAGTCAATTAATGACGTGGACGTAGAGAGAATGGCTACGCCAGTATGACGGCCATGGCAGGCGTCTAGGATATTATCTGGGATGAGCGTGACGAACCAATTTCCTGAATGGCGGAATAGGATGCACAAATCTTTTTCTTTTGCTGCCCCCAGCATCCTGCCGCCCGGACCTCGTTATCTCTGTTAACAGCTACATCAACCACCTACGGTGAGCGGCGGGGCCCCAGGCAGTCTGTTACTTCAAACAGTCTGTCTCTCTTGAGATTAAGGCATTCGGTGAACGGACATGCTGCTTTCGACAACTGGAGCTATGATGATGACATAATAACCTTAAATGCACCAAGATGTGCTGTTTAGAAGAAGATATCAAGCAATTACTGAAACATACTAAGGAAATATTCAACACTTCTAGCAGTGCTCAGAGCCACCAGTGGTCAAGGTAAGGCGAAAACTGAGTTTCACAAAACTATGGCACGTGGCTGAAGGCGGATGTTCCAACTATCTGCAGACTGGACGAATAGAAAGAATCCAAATTAATTAATAATTTAAGCTGCCACCTTGTAACACCTAATGCACTGTGCTATGTGAAGGGGTGCCCAAATCACAGGCGTCGAAGTCGAGAGGTCTCGGTGAGTTGTACGGAGTATAAGTTAAGAACTTACCGAAATATCTCAGAGTTCTATGAAATTATTTGTCAAGCAGTTCTCAAAGTATCCTGCCTTAAAAGCGTTGCGCAAATCGTGTTTCATGATGTCTTCTTTGTGGTTAACCTCAGACAAAGTCGGTAAATGAATTGTTTTAATGATATTTATAAGATGTCACGGCTTACTCACCTGATATCTTGTCGTCTGAGGTTAAAAATGCTGTCTTTATTTGATAATATGGAAGCAAATTTGTGCCTTTAACACCGACCTTGGGGCGGCGAGTGGCATGCGATGGTGGTTTCTAGGACGTTTTGTCCATGACGTTGCAAGACAAAGTGTAAAAGTTACGGAACATTGTCATTCGGGATTCGTGTAGTTTTGAATCGGATTTTTGTTCGTTCTAGCAAAGAGCAATTGTGAATCCTTTTGTGGTCACAAATGCGAGTATATACTAGAATAGACCGTGTAGTAAAATCAAAAGCGTCATTATTCTATTTCAAAAGTGCATCGATGTGAATGGCTTGCTACGCATCACTATGGAGCAAATAAACCAAGACTGGAAAATATCGTCTATGCACCCCACTTACATTTCCCACGACACATTGTCGATTGTTGCTGGTCTTTAGCCACAGGAAAATTGTAACAAAACAGTTACTTATGCACGTTGACATTAAACGCCGAATAAGACAATATTAAAAAGCCTATCACAACGCTCCCTACGCATAAAAACTTCCACAAAACTATACGGTGCGCATATCTATAAGTGCCTACAATGGCCGAACCTCTAGCCCATAATTTTTATAATTACTCTGTTGATACATATTGAATTATTTTGCATTTTAGGGAGAGAAAAAGCACATGACAATAACGGATGTGATCAATATGTTCCTCTCTATGAAACCTTTTAATACGAATGGGAAGCCTAATATTTTTGAAAGGGTATTGAACACTGCGTTTCGTCGCTCCCACATGAAGCCATATATCGGAGCCAGGAGCGTAACAGGTTTTGCATTATGCGTTTTTCCGCGTAAACTTTCTTCCCAAGCCCAATTTCTTGGATATTGCAAACTATCTCCAGCTTAACAAGCCAAAGTCTTAACTGCTGTTTGGACTAAAGTGAATCTTTAACTAGGACCACTGGTGCACATTTCTCGAAAGCCACATAAACAGCCTGATCGCACGGCG